CAAGAAGAAATCAGATTATTTCCCCGCACCGTGATTTAATATCATCTGGACGTGATGTCCGGTCAATCCCACATGACCTGAAGGCAACACAAACCAACATACAGATTACGCAACAGATGGACTTCAGCGTGACGCGGATGCATTTTGGGATATGGAGTCACTTTCTGCATTTGAATTTGAGCGTTCTTTTATTGAATAGACACTAAAAATGAAAGTGTTTTTTTTCTCTTCCTGCTCGTTTGCTAGAACTTGAAATACGGAGCACACATTCAGCATGAGCAACAAGTTTCATATTGACTACAGAGAATCATTCTCACTGGCCTAGTTGAAGGTGTTTGTAGCGCCGACTGGTGGAGAAACAAATAGTCCAGTTTGATAGTCTGAAGCAGGGAGGATTTAGCCAGCCAACGACGCTCCTGTAAGAATAATAAATAGTTACAACAACCAGTAGTGTAGTGGGTAGACTCTTACATTTTATAAGTGTCCCGTCCAGCAGAGGATAAACAGCCTCTGTCATTAACAGTGACATACTCTTGCATAAGTAGTTAGTGTGTATTAGCCAATCAGAGACAGAGAAAGGAGGGTCATCCCTTCACCACACAGAAAGAAAAATGCAGCATACTGAATATTGTCAATCAATCAATGGTGTGAATCAGAGGAGTTTTAGAAGTGGGTATTTACTTATCATACTTCTGAAACATACTTACCCACACAGGAAAACAAAGAACACTTACTGTGGCATATATTTACTAAATGTTGAACATGTTTCAAGATGGAGCTTTATATTACATATCAAAAAGTCAGCACACTAAATGTCCTTTAAGTGGCGCTGATGAAGGCCTAGTGCTGAAACGCGTCCGTTGTTGTTTTGCTGCTCTTACCCAGATAAAGGAGACTTAAAGGACATTTAGTGTGCTGGCTTTCTTTCTGTCTCTTTTTTAGTCTTGTTGCAGTCGTGCACCTGAACCTGTGTTTACTGTCGAGTGTGCTCCTTTTTTTTTCGCTGTTTTTGATATCAGATATTGCCGTTTTATCAGAGCAGACTGACTGTCCCAACACCGTCTCTGACTGTAAGTGTAACAGTGAAGGTCAATCAAACACGATGCATATAATATATAGTGAAGCATATTGATCTTATAGGTCTACTGTCCAGGTAGGAATACTTTACAACGACCTGTCTGAAGAAACGAGGAGAGAGCAGATTCAGGGACTGATTTCACCTTCTTTAAATGCCTTTATTCATCTATCCCTTCCTTTATTAAATGTATTCTTCTTAATCTGTTTTTAATCCATTTTAATCCTTATTTTGATGTTTTAGTCTTCTGTCCTCAGATTATTTATTAACCTGCTGTCTTTTATTCTTCCATTTTTATCTTCAGTTTGTTTTCATTACCTGTGATGTGATGTCATCTCCCTCTCATCGCCCTTTATTTAATGTTCTTTAATTGTAATGCTTTAAAGCTTTAACTGCCTTTTGAGTTATTCCTGTTATTTGCATTTATATTTTTTTAGACCTCTCTCTGTTTGTTAAACTGTTGATGTTTGTTGTGTTGTTGATCTGACTTCCTTACTTTGCTTTTTCTGTCAAACTGTTAAAACACTTTGTGAACATCTGTTTTTAAAGGTGATATATATAAAAGACATTCTTATTATGTTTATACTGATGTAAATTTAGCTTTACAGCTAACTCTGGCTCAAACAGTTGTGTTTTGTAGGCTCCCTGTTAAAAAAAGTAATACAGTAAAGTCTTGATGCGTAGGCTTCTTGATCATTTGAGTTATTCCAGATGACATGAGTAGGCCCTTTACAAAAAGGTTATTTTGGATCAAGAGCAGGTAGACCTAAAGGTAGCTTGTGTCATATTACATGTTAAGTCACATACAAGCTTCCAGGGGGATGAGAGTGTGCTACTTCACAGTAGCCTAAATCAAAAACACCAACATGTGTAATAGTTTGAAGTCAGAGACAGCGCTGATTGTGGGCTGACACCATGAAGCTACTCCAAAGAATATAAACCTTCTAATGGGTGATTTCTTTATGAACACAGCCACAGGTTGTAGAAATACTGTTGTGTGGGAAACATTTATAACTGACAGTCAGAGGTGGAAAGAGAACAAGTAAAAGTAAAAAGAAGCTTCTTTAAATTTTTACTTTAAGTAAATGTTATTTAGTTACTTTAAAAAAAAAGGGATCTCTCCTGTGTAGAGCAAAAAGGTGGAGAGGATTGAAATCTAACATTTTTTTATTTAATATTTTTTTTTTAATTAAAGGCAAATCTTTACAAATGAAAGTGCAATAACTTAATAAAACAAGTCGACACATGCAGGACATTTAAAACCTTTAGGGAGGTATAGTGTGTCATTTTAGTCGAGACCATCCCATAAAACATTTTCAAACAATACAACCATTAAAGGAGGCATAAATTGTGGATTCTGTAGACCGTCCTTCTTTTCTTCACCAACAAACACCAACAACAGTCATACTCCAAATATATCAATGCAAACAGGTCAAGGTCATACGTGTTGTGACTTTCCCTAAATGACCCAAAGAAGACTCAAATCTGAGTATCAGGGACATTCAAAATGTTTTAAGACAAGACTGCATGCACTGCAGTTGTTGATATTCTTCTTCTGTGGTGTTTTTAGGCGGTTGACACTGAGCACATGTTACCAGAGAATCACCATGTACAGTGATGTGTGTTAGCTTGTGTGTGCTCGTGTTATTGGAAAAAAAATGTTTCACCACTAAAGCACAACACCAAATGACAATCACTTGGCTTTACCCGACCTGAAGACTTTTAAAGTGTCCAAATCTAAATGTAAGAACTTATCTGATAGACCGGGGTGCCAACAGGCCCCAGATGTTTCCCTTTAGTTTTTATCTCACGGGAACTGTATCCACTCAGTTCAACATTTCTCTGTTCTGCCAATCAGCTTGAATCCTATGACTAAATCTTTCTCATTCTGTATCAATTAGTTCATTTCAAACTTGTTGGGATTATTGGGATTTCTACACATAATACAAATCATGCAATTGTCTTTTCTTAAATAATATAATATGTGTAGTTGTTTCTCCTCTAGATGCCACCCTGGGGTGCTGAAGGGGCGAGAAAAGTAAGGAAGATTTTTTCTTTTTAAACAAGAAAAGACAAGGTAATTTTTTCCCCCATAATAAATTATTAACCTTTTTGCCAAAAGTGAAGTTTTTTTATTACACTGCACTGATGGTGAATACAGAGTACCAGAGCACGCCTGACCCCCGAGAAGCAAAATCTGAAAAAAAAAGAAAAGAGAGAAAGGTGAAAAAAGGGAAATCAATCAACATCATAGGAAACAATCTCATATGACATTTTTATTTCTATTTTTTTTACAAATAATCATGTGAAAATCTGCTTCATGCTTAAAAACGGCCCTTACGCCTGAAAGGTTCTCATGTTACTGAGTGTAATTCCTTGTCGAGAGTGATTCAGAGACAGCAGAGTATGAAATGCTCTGTGAACATGAGTTATAGTTGTCTTCTCATAATGGACATGTGGTTATAGCGATTGTGCTGAGTTGATTTTGGAAGTGTTGGGTCCATTGTGATAATTTTTCCCACAAGTCCTGGCGCCGCCGCTGATGCCTCCAATGGCATGATGTTTTTAAAAAGAACGCTACAGTGGTTGCTTGGGTTGTAAACAGTAGTTTATTCTTGGTGTACTCAGTGACGCTGGTGGGAACCTCTTAAAAATGTTGGCAGGATGGTGTTGATCAAAAAATTCACCCCTTCTGCATTTTCTAAAACCCAAATGATGGAAACACTAACCACAGAAATGAAGAATAGAAAAACAACAACCAACAGGTATGTAGGTCAGGTCAGGTCTCACCATGATGTGCCACATTTTGAATAGTGATTTGTTTGGCACCCAGTTTCCATTAGTAAGTCTGTTGAGTTTCTTCAGGTGGACGTCTCTCCTCCTTCACAACCTGTGGAATAGGTTGGCATTGTTAACCTCGTCCAGCAGATGGCGCTAAAAGCTCATTGAATTGTGTCTACGCTGTGTCCTCCAGCAGACTCTCCTCTCGTTACCACTATGAAACGTGCTATTAGGTTCACTTATCAATGATGTTTAATGTAGGATATGTGTGCACTGAAATCTCTTTTTTAGTTAACTATAAAAAGATCAACAAAGAATATAGTAGTAAAAAAATCCCAATCTACTTTTTACACTTCCTAAAAGCCTGCAGACAAGAAATAGACCATGTCTCTTTTAGAGACGCGAAGTAACAGCACTCAAGTAATTCACAGATTTTGGATATTAATCTCTCATGTAACCGAGAGGCTGGAGACAGTTTGAAAAAAGCTATGTTGTAAAATCAAGAACGACATCTTGTTGAAAGGAAAGATGGGTTCTAATTTTATCTTCAGGGTTAAATTATATCAATGAAAGTGAGTTTGCAAATGGCATGAAAGTAATCACTGATCTGTTTCTTAAACATGTAATGTTTATGATGACGTGTGCTGCTCACCGGGATAATTGCAGGTTAAATACCTGAATTGTTTATGCATATTCTGTTCTGTGAAGGGTACAAACAGTGAGGATGTTGAAAAGTAGAAGTATAGTCTATGTATTATTAACGCAATAAAGTAGCCCAAAAGGGGAATTGGAAAATAATGTCTAATCTAAAGACGCTGTGTAAATTATTATTATTATTTGTATTGTTATTATTATGTGTAAATATAAATATACACACAGAGACAGACTCCTCCCATCAGCGGAGGACAGCGGATGACAGATGATGCGCGCTGTGCGCCTGGCTGAAGACGGAGCGCACACTTCCATCCATACACACAGAAAGAGAGAGAGAGAGAGTCAGACTGACGCATATTGGATAATCCCCCCTGTGTGTGAAGAGAATGGAGCTTAAATAGTTGGACTAATTTTTTACCTTATGGACTGAATCCAGTGATTGCCTTTTTGGATTTCTTTGAACTTCACGCGCAGACACTCAAGAGAGAAAATGTGGAGATACACGAACTTGTTCGCGTGTGTGCTGGTTTTGTGTCAGGATGTGTCTTCACAGAGCAAGGTACGTACATGCAAATAAGTCCTATTCACTGTATTTCGCCGTGCATTCATTCATTGTGCTGCACTGAAACAAGGGTTAGCCACTCATTCATGATGAATGTACATCCCAGCCTGTTAACCTCCACTCTTGTCCTGCTCCACCTCACTCCAGTATTTACCTGCTAAACGACCTGCGTTATGGTGCCTGTGCCTCAGACAAATTGCTGACCTGACCAGCACCCAACATTTTCCCCCTGCCAGACCTGGACATTTTCTGTCTAATGTCTGCAGATGGTTCAGGGTTACGTGTCATTTTTTATGCTTTAAGGGTAATCTTCCCAATGAGGGCTTTTGTGTGACAGGACGAGTAACAATAGGTTCATGTAATGATAGCTCCAGGGTGAGCAGGCCTGATGCCAGCCGAGTGTGGGAGAGATGGCACTCAGTAATATCTGGCTGCTCTTGTTTGTACAGCTGCTGGACTGCAGTAACCCCTCACTCTCCCTCAGCCTAATCCTGCTCTACAATCACACACACAAAGGCACACACACACACCAGAAGACAAAACACATGTACAGTATGCATTATGTATGAAGACCAGATGCACTGTCAAACATGTATGGCCAAGTATGGTGTGTGACTGCTGAACATGTGCTGATACAATCAGAGGTGAAATGAGGAGCAATGCAAAGAGTAGACGCCTCATACAGTAGTGGACCTAGCAGTGATAATAAGTAGTGTTCACAGAAGTGGTTTTAGTATAGCAGTTATGGAATCAGCACATCGTTGTTTTGGTTGCAAAAAAAATATTGTGGAATAATATGTGGTCACAAATGGGAGGGCACTGCCTGGTTGGTGCAATGAAGGGACATCTTAATGTTTCAACTTGTAAAGACATGTTTGACAAAAGTAGTACCAGGCGAACTCTTGTGTTGTTGTTTTGTTGAGCGTGCTCCAGTGCACAAAGCACACTACAAAAATAAATGTTTTATTGTTTGTTTATTAGAACCTGACTGGCACGACCTCATTCAAAACCTTTGGGATCGAGTGCAAACCGGACCAAATCACAAACATCAGTGTTTGACCTCATTAATGCTCTACAGTGTCTGAATGGGAGAAACTCCCTACAGACGGGTTCCAACATCTGCTGGGGGAGCCTGAAACAAGTGGAGGCTGATTTAGTTGGGAATCTCGAGATGTTAAAACAAATCGTTTTATTCCCAATTTTAAATAAATATGTATATTTATGACCTTATTTGATTATGCTTCACATTTGAATATAAAAACCAGAAGGATATTTTATAATTTAACTTATCTATATGTTAAAAAATTGGGGCACTTGGTATCTCATCTGGTACATTTTGTGCCCCATGTAGTTGACGATGTGTCCTTATTGCAGCGGCCCTGTTTTGAGTCCAACTCATAGACTGTATAGAAATATGGATGTCATCTCTGGGACATTGGTTGCTAGAGCGCAACTTTGAAGCCCAGTGAAGGCAGTCACCATGTTGAAAATACTGTCTCAAAGTAACTTGTGATCAATCTAGAGACAGTGAATGTGGTGCAGCTGAGGTAGGCCTTTAGCCTCCTGGCTAACAGCTGTAATTCAGATCAGACACACTGATCTGCCACGCCCCACAGCCATGCCCCTAATCATATTTTTTATGTATTTTTCCTTTCTATGGCGACTGTGGCTCAGTGGTGGAGTATGTCTTTTCTCAACTAGAAGGTCAGGGGCTCTATCCTCTGCACCATCATCCTCATGTCACATGTGTCCTTGGGTAAGACACTAAAGTTGCTCCTGTTGCTTCGCTGGCGGCATGTGAATGTGTTTGAATGGATTAGTTAATATTGATGGACACTTGACATAGCAGCCTCTGCCATCAGGGTGTGAATGTGCAGGTGTGATCTGCGGTGTAAAAGCTCTTTGAATAGTCAAAAGACTAGAAAAGCTTAAGTCCATTTCATTTAAACCAGGTTTTAAACATGTTTTTATTTCTCTTTTTTTTTAATGGGTGTGTATGTGACTTCTAGGGTTTTGCAACCAGCCTCAAGTGGACACTTGAGGGACTGCAGCTTTTGCACTTTTGCTTTCAACTACAGAGGTTGCCTATGATCTTAAACATGTTTAGCTTAACTTTTCTTCTGCTCCATATTAATCTCTATTGTTGTTCAAAATAAACACAAATATGTTCAATAAAACACCCAATAAAGCAGCACTCTGTCTAAAATCTGTGGCTTCTACACTCTTTAGGGGCTGCGGGACATCAGGGGGGCTGCAGGCTGAGCTGTTTACAGGGATAATTGTTCACAAAGTTTCTCCTGGAATACAATTATATTATAAACCTTTTGATTGGAAACCAGTAAAGTATCTAATATTTTTAGGTGGGATTGTGAGCCGAGCTGCTTCTTACGTTAGTTCAGCTGGTTTCTCTGTTAACTTTCAGATGTCTGAAATGTTGATGTAGAGTTAAAAATGACCAGAAAATATTAAATAATGTTGACATGACTTGAGCAGTAAAAAGTAGCCATATGGAAACATTTGAATGTTCGTCTTGTGAGTTAAGACCTGCAGACAAGAAGTTATTTTCCCTTTTACTTTACCAGTATAATAGGCTGTTGCCAACATAACCAATATCAAATGTACAGAGATACCGTTCAGATTATTTGATATGAGGGATATATTGATGCATATTTTCACAGACTGGAATTTTTCCCAGTAGTAGTGATATGGGGCATGTCCATAGACTGTTTGGACTGTTTCATCATGTTTTCTGTTCACCAGTACACTATGTTAATCTCTGCTCGGTTGTTGATTTTGCGAATGTGTTTCACTTCAGTAAGCATTGATAAAAAGGCACAAATTGTCATTATAGCCTTGGACTCTGTTGCATCATCGGCCATTTCCGCCTTGTTCGTTTACATCATGTCTTGCCTCCTGAGGTACGCTCACTTCCTGGTACACTTCAACAGCCCTTATCTTGATTCTCATGTTCTTAAATTGTTCATTCGGCCTTTATTTGCAGCATTAACACGCCTCTTCTCACAACACCATTACACATCCTGCAGGAACCCACACCCAGCCTCATGGCCACTGGAGACACCCAGTCATAGTCTCTGTAGCCAGGCTGGTTGCACTGGCATTGATGGGAGACAAAGCAGCCTCGGAAAGAGGGCATGAAGGGCACCAGAGGGTGGCGTGGGAACCAGCGTGTGCACCTGCTTCTTGTTTTGGTTGTAAACAAACCAGAGGACAATCAGTCCAAGGTCATATGGGGGCTAGAGAGACGCAGACTGCAGACTGGGATGCTCAGGAAATCAGCCAACAGTCGAGGGAAGGGGCTCCATGATAAATAGTCACTTACAGGCTCTTTACTGTGCTTTGTATGCATGGATGAATGGCACAATGACCATGAAATAACATTTCTCTATGCTGTGTTATGCCAACATGACTTCATTTAATTAGGGAGGCTTGATGAGTGTGTAAACAGTATGAGAGTGCAGACAGTCAGATCTCCCTGTTTGTGGTTAAAACAAAGCTGCCTTCTGTTGGAAATGAGAGTGACTAACACCTCATTTAGCTGAAATACTAATGGCCTTGAAAAAAAAAAAGATTTTGAAAGGGGATGGTTTAATGCTTGCCATCTGACCTAGATGCACAGACATGCACATGGCCAAGGTTTTACACAGTCTGACATCTCTTGGCTTTGATTCAAAAATATCAATATGGATATTATGTTTAAAGGCGTTCTTCTTCACATGAGGAGGACTTCTCACTCCCTCATTCATGAGTTTAACTGTTTTCTTGATCTTTGAACAATTGCAAAGGACACGAGTCTGCACCTGTTAGCTTTACAAAATAGAAGAAAGAAAGAGGTTGTAAAAGTACACAGAATCGAAGCTGGATCCAAAAGGTAACTGGACTTAGTTGAAGGTCTTAAATAAGTAAGAACTGCCCATCTGCACAGCTCATCATGGAGAGGGTGAGAGGAGTTGTCCAGGATGGCTGGTTCCAGACCAACAACAGAGCGTGCCTTCCTCGCCCGCTTGTTGAGCCTGCTGACGCATGGGATGCAATACACATAATTAATGCATGTGCACTGAAGTGTCATGTGTATGTTATTTCTGATTTGTATGAACATAAATATTTTGATCAAATATTTTATTAATTATGAAACAAAATATTGTAATGCAAATCCTATAATAATATACATCTGTAGATGTAAATGAAATGCAATAACTCAAATGTGCATACGAGCGCTCTTGACTTTTTGTAACTTCTGTTCTTACCTAACAACAAATCCCATTGGGGGATCCCAGAATCTTCTTAAAAAGTTTGTAAGTAGGATTAAAGAACATTAAGAATGATTGGTGAATGAGGCCCAATGTACTGAAAGTAGTGAATATTCACCTTTACCAGATGACTTATTGACCTTTGACCTTGTGTTGGTCACAGATGTTTTATTCATCAGACACCTGTTCACCTCAGGAAAAAGTTTCCGTCTTTTGTTTAATCTTAAAATGTGTTTTCAGGCATGTTCGTGATGTTTCATCTTACAAACCTGATATTTGAAGGCTGGATCAGACGATTTATTTCTGATAGGTTCAGGTTGGAATTGTTCTGAAAATGCATTTGAATTAAAGTATAGATAACGTTTTAAAATGATACATAATAGAGAGACATGTTTGTTAACATGTAGGGGCTGAAAAAAAAGTTAAAGTGAAAAGTTGTCAGAAACTTAAATACTCTCATAAACTTGAAAAATCTATGTTAAGTACATAAATGAAACATTTGTACTTTTGTTGCTTCCATTCTCTCTAGTTTGACATTTGTGAAAATCTGAATACTCACTCAGCTGCTGTGAGTGAACTGAGAAGATGAATAGCACTCTCGTGTTTATACAGTTAATAAGAACCTTCTGCCAGTAGATCCGAATCAACAGGGAAAACAAGAGAAACAGCTACAACAACAAAAACACAAAGTGTACAAACAGAAGTCTGTGGTTTGACGGGGGCTGGGGG